TTTTTTTTTTACATCTAATTTTTCCAATTTACGTTTATTTAGAAGGATGACTTATTCTCCGTACATGTATTCATTTCTCTTTGTTTCGAATAATACTTTTTTAATCAGTTCCTAATAATATTTTTCCTTTTAGCTCCACAATCTTTCAAAAAGGAAGCCATGTGTTATGACAAACAAACTCATCAAATTTGTAGTTGTACCATGAGTAGAAACATAGTCGGTTCTTTTTCTTTTTTCTTTTTTCTTGGGGGGGGGGGGAGAAGCAACTTGTTTAAGATTAACTTTGTTATTTATGCATGAAGGTTTTTGTAGCTTCTTTATCAGAGAAAACTTACTAACGCTGAACATGTAAACTTAGGTTCAAGACCTCCTGTTGGAATATGGAGTTGAAATTATTGCTGAAACTCTTACTGAAGGTTTATCACGTGTGAAAAGATGTACTGATGAGGGACGGGCTCTCATGTCATTAGATCTTCAGGTACTTCCTTTAACATGGTGGGAATTTTGCAAATTTTACAGTGGAGTTTTGGCTCACTTCTTCCAGCATAGTGTGAGAAATTGCCTGCTGTTTTTTTTCTTTTTTCAATTTTATCTTTTTAGGTTTTGATCAATGGCCTGCAACATTTTGTTTCCATAAATGTGAAGCCAAAGTTACAATTAGTTGAAACTTTCATCAAGGTGAGCTTTCTTTTTTCCTCTTTTTGAGATTTCCCACCAAGATAAGCATAGTCATTCTTGAAATGGTAATTTACTTTATTGATAGATTGATTGCACACAACAGTTGTAATTTGGAAAGCTGCACATTGTCTGACCTTTTAAAGTGTCAATGGAATCAAATCTTTAAAATCTACTTAACTGGTCTTCTCTCTCTTAACAGGCTTACTATCTTCCAGAGACTGAATATGTCCACTGGGCACGTGCTCATCCTGTAAGGAAACTCTTTAGTCTATAATTAATCTACAAATCTTTATGTTTCGCATGATCTTATATGGGAGACATATTACAGGAGTATAGCAAAAATCAAATTGTGGGGCTAATCAACCTGGTTGCTACAATGAAAGGTTGGAAGAGAAAAAACCGATTAGAAGTATTAGAAAAGCTGGAATCAGCTGGCGGTTAAATTTGGGAAACCATGTAAAGTTTTAAGGTTCGCACTGTACTAATTCTTTTTGTTGTATATTTTTTAGTGTTTAATCAATGGTCCTTGATAATAGAGTACACTTTTTCTGAGTTTGTAAATCTTCAAATCTCAGTTGTAAACACTTGGTCTTCCCCACCGGGGAAGACATCAAATGTAATTTTGGATACATGCGTGAAATAATCATAAGAGTTATTTTCATAAGACTAATGCTTACGTCTCCAAGCTTTCTGGTTTTGCGCAACTCACCATAATTGTGATTCTCTCAACACACTGGACCCCCTCTGGTTAAATTTTCATTTATAGAGATTTTTGTTTGACTTTATGTTAGTCAATTTTTATTTTTAAATCTTATGTGAGGTTATGTTTGAGACGGATGAACTAAATTTTGCAAATTATTTAAAAATTCGCAGTTGGTTCAGTTGAAAATATTGAAGTTCAATTCCAATACTGAATTTAGTTTCAAGTTTTAATTATGTGAAATAGGAATATTATAAATATTTAAATAAGAACAATTCATTTTAACTATGATTTATGCTTAATTAAGCTAATTATTTCTGTAATTACATATATAATATATATATGTAAATTGTAAATAACATTGAATTAAATAATCAAAATTTAAAAATAAAGTGTGAAAAGAATAAGCATGAACCACAACGTAAGACAGTTGAATTAGAACTAAGGAAAGTCGAGTTTGTATTCTCATAAAAATGAAAGTTCCCACAACTAGCTAGCCGGTAGAGGAGTCAACGTCGTATTCCATCCTTCAAAAACGACGTCACATGGAATTCCACGGTGCTTTCACCCAACACTCGACACTCTCTCATCTCCAAATCTATTCTCTCCCTCATTTCGTCCACACGCTCCTTTGTCCCGTAAACTCTCTCTCAATATCCACGTACTCCAAATTTAAATTAATTTTTTTTAATTATTTATTTTTTGTGAAATAAAATATATAATTCGGTATGTAGTGATTGTTATGTATACAAATAAATACTAATATGTATATATACTATATTTCTATATGTTGTATTGTATTATATAAATATAATGTACAAATTATAAATATATTTTTAAATTAATAAAATTTAAACCAAAATTTTAAAATTTTAGTTTTAAAAATTATTTTAATTTTTATCATTATTTTAATCAAATACAAAATTTCTATTTTTACATTATTTTGCTTGTAGACTATATTCTTAGTAATTTTAGTATCAATAATTATTTTTACTAAACACCCAACTTCAACTCTTTTATAATGATAATATTTTTAACAGTTAGTATATAAATATCGATAATTTTTAATCAAAATATTTTTAGTTAACATTTATTTTAACAAATATTTTTAAAATTTACAGCATAAATTTCAATCTTCCTAACCGCCCAATTAGTTTTTAAATATAAAGCTAGTGTTGGTTAATTGATTTGAATCAAGTGGGCAACAATTAATCTGGTCGACAATGAGTACAGTTTATAAGAAAATTTTCATTACCGCACGAAGAGATTAACTAATATTTATTTATAGAAATGGAGAGAATCCTACTCCAAATCTTCCATGCCCTTGCCAAACAGGAGAAGAAATCATCCAAAGAGAGGAAAATCTCATTGGTGGCACTCCTCCTATGATCCCTCTAAATACAAAAACACCCCCAACACTCTACTCAGTTAATACTCATCCATCATATCACAACTCAAACTAGAAGAAAGGAAAAGAGAAATACTTGGGCTACTTCTATTATGAGATCAAGATTTGTTTGAGCAAATCCATGAATTGAAATTTCTAGAGTTGCTTACAGTTTCAACTGAGGTAAGAATACAGAATGATTGGTTGAGATTACATGTGAATTAATAAGAGTACAGAGAATATTAATGAGAAACATAACTCTTGCTACGATCTGCAAGGATTCTGTTCCTCAAACATGCAGCAAGTAAACCTGTCATAGGATGCAATATATTACGACTTTGACAGAAACAACACTAGCTACAGTGATAACTGAACCTAATTATCTTGGTATATAAGAAAGGACTCAGAGAATAATAAAATTTGGAATATCAAATTTTAGTCTGTAACATCTCAGATTCCTGCAATTAAAGGAAGATGATGGTAAACAGACAGCACCTGTCAATCTCCTAGAAATAATAATCCAACTGGTGCTAACTTCTTAAACAAATCTAATTGCTTCTTTTCCATATCCTAAACAGTTTGTACATACTCTTAACAATCAATAAACACATAATATTTTAACATCCTTCACGAAACCGCTAAATACAATTTACAATTATCTCCCACTGAATGCCAAATTCACAATACCATTAAACATCTGCATCAAAACCATTCCTCCTTTTTTACGGGTTCTCTTCCTCCCAATATGTTTCTTTCTTTTTGTCAAAGAGGTGATTATATCTCTAAATAAGAGGTGATTATATAGAATTAACTTCACATAATGAAAAACTTATTGTACTTAACATAGAGTTTCAAGTATGCGACAAATATGTGAAAATTGCATATGGAGACCAACTAGACATAAAATGTGAAATCTCAAATAAAATAAAATAAAGAAAAAATTTACAAAAGATAACAATCTATAAAAACATATGATAAAGTTTTAACTTACATAATATGACAGCAAGATGTAGATCATTCTGTATTCCATTGCTTTACTCCTCTCTTCAGTTAGCTTACGTTGACATCCTCTAACAGTTATTGAGGGAGATATAACATATACAAACTGTTGTTCTGAGTCATTCAGTGGCTTTCTGTCTTTCAGTTAGATTTCAGACTCTCTCCAGTGTCCTGCAGCTTTGGGCAGTTCCTGTGAGTATATTCTGTCTCACGAGGTAATTTAACCCCAACTCTCTCCAGCTCTGGCAAATCTAAAAGATATAATACTTTCAAATTATCCAATATAAAGTTTTCACCCCCCGTGCAGTCAAAAAGTTTCCTCACTTTATCGCAGAATTTAACTTTAAGGGTTTCTAGGAATCTGGGAAGCTGAGTTGGAGGGAAGAGACTTTCAAGCTCTGGGCAACAATCAAGGTACAAATGTTTAAGATTATTAAAACTATCAGTATGCAATTTCTCGCTGCAAACACTATTTAGTTTTGGAAGGTTGGATACCCACAGAATCTCGAGCTTTTTCTCCTTTATTTCTCCATCTTCATGGCAAAATACTTTCTCCACTTCGGGGCATCTCTCCAGCCAACAACCTTTTATTTCATTAACATCAAATGCACTGAACATGGACGAGCAACTTGTAGAGATATCGTCAATGAAACAGATTTTTTCAGCTTCTGAGATGGCTTCCTTAACATGTGGAGGGAAATTGTCAGATCCACTAGACCCACGAAATTCCAAAAACCCACCACGCTTTTCACGATGGGGAAAACATCTAGTTTTCAAGTAGATGTCCCCATAGGCATGCATATCCCTCAGCAAAGCCTGCCTTTTTCTTGCTCATTGAAGCAAACCGAAACATAAAACTCTTTGAAGCAGTTTCTCCAGAAATTTGGGTTTTTCTCCAAGATCTCAAAAAACTTTGCTCTAGTCACCTGCAAGTAAAGATTACTGCTTTGAGCAGAAATCTCAGTAGGTTCAGGTATGCTACATTTTTCCCAGCTAAGTTCCTCTGGCAGGCGCTTTATCTTGCTCCAATCAAGTCTTTGAATGACGGCCAAGTCTGGCAGGACAAGGCACTTTAAGCAAGCCAACTCTGATATTACGTAGGGGAATTCTTTTATTCCAGTGCCTGATAAATTAAGGACCTGCAGATGACCAAGTGATTCCAGGGGAGGCATGCTTTCTAAGCTCGAACAACCACATAATGAGAGCTCAAAGAGATTTATAAGTTTCCCAATAGATTGAAGAGTGAGGGGACTCCTAGGTTTAGTGACAGATGATCCTGCCTCCATGGCTGTTTCAGATAGATTTAGAACCTGAAGCTTTGTAAGTTCTCCCAAATGACAATCTATTTCTGCACCCGAATGAATTGTTAATGAAAGCTGAGTCAAATTGGTGAGGATGGAGATAAATTTGAAGTCATGAAGAATGACCCCACATAGGCTGAGAGCTTCAATGTTACTCATAGTCTTCCAAAATTCATCTGGGGCATTACTCAAAGATTTCACACCATTAAGATCAAGGTCCTTGAGTTTCAAAAGGACTTTTGCCTGTGAAAAATCTTTTAGCTCGGTGCAGTTTCTAAGTGGAAAGGTAACGCAAGTTGCTAGGATTACACAGATCTGGTACTCTTTGAATCTTAGTATCAGAGAGATTTAGTTTTTGAAGACGAGACATGCACTTCAAAGGATCCATCAATTGTGGTCAAAGCACTACAACCTGAAAGATCTGGAAGCTCAAGTCTTTGGCAGTCTTTCAACTGGGGCAACTTAAGCAGCTTCTCACAACCGGAGAGGTCAAGAATCTCAAGGCTCACAAGCCCTTCCATTGATGCAAGATTTTGTAGTGAAGAACAATCTTTAAGAAAGAGATGACGGAGAAGCCCAAGTTTGGAAAGAGATGGAAGACTTATCAATCTAGAGGCTTTTGAAAGATCTAGAACCTGAAGCTTTTTCATCTCTTCCAATGCTTTCACAGATGATAGTTCAACAAGCTCAGTGCATCCTTTCAATTTAAGATCACAAAGATTCGCAATGTTGGAAGGCAAGTTTTTTATTGGAGTTTCTGATAGATCGAGGATTTTAAGGTGGTCTTTTTTTTCAAATTGTTCTCCAGTAATTGTCTTTAATTTATTGGCACCACAAATATCAAGAATCTGGAGGCCAGACACTGATTTCAAATTGGGCAATATGGTTAACCTATCACAACCTCTTAATAGGAGCCGTTCCAGGCAATTAGTGTTGGAGTTCCGGGAGTTTAATATTGGCAATCGTTGAACTTTGCTGTAAGACAGATCAATCATTTTAAGATTCTGAAGCTGTGAAAAGCTTTTGTTTTTCTTATTCAATTCT